CTGCCAGTAAAGTGCATGAAAAGTACAAGCATAAGGAGAGCTTGAATGACAGGTAGGCAGAGATCCCCTGCAGTAAGGGAGCTTTCTCACCAGTGTCAGAAAATATCCATCCGTTTTCTGATGTACAACAAGAGGCAGAGCCTTTGGAGAGTGCAGGAGCCATCTATACACGATTCTTTACAGTCTTTTAATGACAACATCCACCTAAAAGCATGGATGCAGATGTGGAAAAAGGAAGGAGCCTTTTTGACAGGATTTAAAGCAAATCCCTTTGGGACCTAGAGACTAACTGACAGTACATACGAAGTCCCTCTAGCACAAATCTGATTCCCAACTCTATTAAACCCCTCAGCATTTCCAAGGGTTAAAGCACAGGAATACCAGAGCCAGCAGTCACACTGCTGCAAGTCTCAGACAACCCAGGCAATACTGCAGTTTCTCTGGACTGAGGACCTGGCAGAGCACCCTCCTGAAGAGTCTGAGAACAGAGAGCTTTCCAGGGGCCAGGACCAGGAATTACACAGACTTGAAAGGAACTCTGAAAAGCAGGGAAATAAACACCTTATTTGCATAAAACTATAGATATGCATCTTTTCATAAAATCACATATTCTTTTGATCTCTGTGCCTTATGGGCATAAAAAGGATAGCTGCAAATTATAAACAACAGCAAAAAAGTTATAGGTTACTGCTCCTCAGACCAAGAGAAAACAAAATACCTAAAATACCCCAGACAATTTCATTATGGACCCCAGTTATTATAAGAGCAAATAATGACAGACAAGAAGCCAACCAATAATAAGCCTGAAACATCTGGCCTTCTATGATGAGGCTTAGCCTTCTATGATGGGGCTACAGAACTGACGGACATGGGTAGAGCAATTGATGTCATCTATCTGGTCTTGTGCAAAGCATTTGACACTGTCCCACACAACATTCTTGTCTCTAAACTGGAGAGACATCATTTTGATGGATGGACCACTCGGTGGATAAAGAACTGGCTGGATGGCCGCACAGAAACAGTTGTGGTCAATGGCTCAATGTCCAGCTGGAGACCAGTAACGAGTGGTGTCCCTCAGGGATCGGTGTTGGGACCGGTCTTGTTCAACATCTTTGTTGCTGACATGGACAGTGGGATTGAGTGCGCCCTCAGCAAGTTTGCCGATGACACCAAGCTGTGTGGTTTGGTTGATACGCTGGAGGGAAGGAATGCCATCCAGAGGAACTTTGGCACGCTTGTGAGGTGGGCTGATGCCAACCTCATGAAGGTTAACCATGCCAAGTGCAAGGTCCTACACCTGGGTCGGAGCAATCCCCAGGTTGGGCAGAGAAGAAATTCAGAGCAGCCCTGCAGAGAAGGACTTGGGGGTGCTGGTCGATGAGAAACTGCACATGAGCTGGCTTCAGTGTGCACTTGCAGCCCAGAAAGCCAACCGTATGCTGGGCTGCACCAAAAGAAGCGTGACCAGCAGGGTGAAGGAGGTGATCCTGCCCCTTTACTCTGCTCTTGTGAGACCTCACCTGGAGTATTGTGTGCAGTTCTGGTGTCCTCAACATTTTTTATGGACATGGATTTATTGGAACAAGTCTAGAGGAGGGCCACGAGGATGATCAAGGGACTGGAGCACCTCCCATATGAAGATAGGCTGAGAAAGTTGGGGCTGTTCAGCCTGGAGAAGAGAAGGCTGCATGGAGACCTCATAGCAGCCTTCCAGTATCTGAAGGGGACCTATAGGGATGCTGGGGATGGACTCTTCATTAGGGACTGTAGTGATAGGACAAGTGGTAACAGGTTAAAACTTAAACAGGGGAAGTTTAGATTGGATATAAGGAGGAAATTCTTTCCTGTTGGGTGGTGAGGCACTGGAATGGACTGCCCAGGGAGGCTGTGAATGCTCCATCCCCGGTGGTGGTCAGGACCAGGTTGTACGAGGCCTTGGGTGATATGGTTTAGTGTGAGGTGTCCCTGCCCACGGCAGGGAGATTAGAACTTGATGACCTTAATGTCCTTTCCAACCCTAACTTTCTCTGATTCTATCAGAATTAAAATTTTTACTGACACTTTAAAATGTAATGATTTGCTTTACTGCCATCTAGTGACAATTCAACACAGTTCATAACACAGTGATGTCATAAAAGTAGTACAGATCTGCAAAAGGGCATCAGTAATTTTAGCATCTGTTCATACCCATAAGAAAGGCAGTCAGGTCTACTGTAATTGCTGAGTGAAGAACTTTTTTACAGTGAGGATGGTAAAGTACTGGCACAGGTTGCTCAGAGGTGGTAGATCCCTGGAGATATTCAAGGCTGGATGTGTTTCTGGACAACCTGATCTAGTTGAACACATCCTTGTTTATTGCAGGGCGGTTGGACTAGATCACCTCTGAAGGTCCCTTCCAACCCAAACTATTTAAGATTTTGCTAGTTTTCCTATCAAAACCTGTAAACACAAAGTGAAGCATGGTAAAACTAATGCATTTGTGTACTGCAAAGGTAAAACAATAATATGGAATGCAGTCTTACAAATCAGTATTGTCAAAATTTCTGTGAACAGTGTCAAAACATTCTAATGCCATCACAGCAAAAATCAGATTCTGCAGTTTTTCCATATTCCCCATAGACTCATGTTTTAAGTACTTCATTTAAAGCAATAAGAAAGGAACAGCACCTTACGATTTCCACCCCAATTTCATGGACACATCATAAATTTATACACACATATCTCACAGTTATATGAATATATGAAACTTTTTTACTTCAAGAAGTGAGAGATGACAAGCTTCTGTCACTGAAATGTCCAAGATCAAACATAAACAAATATGATGTCCAAGCAAGAGATGTGGGGAATTAGGTCAAGGGCCTTTATCAAGAAGTAAGAAGCCAGTTGTAGAGGCAGCCACAACAAGGGCATGAAGCCATCAAACCAGGATGTTCTGGCAGTTAGGAAACGAACTTCTTGCAAAGGTTTAGTCCAAAATTTTTGAAAGAAATCAAAGTAAGACAAGTTTAGTTGAAATCCAACCTATTTTTACAGAACTTAACAAGCTTGAAGTCTGCTGGAATCAAAACTGCAAGATCATGCAGTTAAGGATAATAACACAGGTACACACTGCTGCTGACCCCTGTGAAGCACTAAGGGGACAGAAAGTGTGTCAGTGCCCCGTGTTGATCCCAGCACTGCATTACAATGTATGGAGGAACTCAGCAAGTGAGATCCCAGAAAATGTTAGATTAGGTGTTTCAGTGGTGACGAGAAACCCAACCACTATGAAACAACCTTTTCTTAAGCCTCATTTGTAAAACAGCACACAAATTTGGCAGTGTACTTCAAAGAAGGCTATCTTAACTGGAGCAGACACAGAGAAGGGTATGTTCAAGTCCTGCAGAAATATGAGAAGGGTCTGAGCTTGCTTCACCACTAGAGTAAGATACATACGCAGGGGGGCTAAGTATCCAAGGCAGAGATGGGATCTTTAAATGAAAGGCACAGGTACAAGAATATACAGAACAGAAAGTGGCCATAGAGACATTCAGGCTGGAAATTGCAATAATGTTTCTAAATATTACAGAGATAAGGCCTCAGCACAGCTTTGTTAGAGAGGCAAAGAAAGAAAAATACGTTTAACAGTGAAACTGATAGGCTTACAAAAGCTACCATGCCAGAATTGCCTGCAACGATAAAGCAGGCACCCAGCCATAAGTAAAGATGTGGCAGTGATAACCCTGACAGCAGAACAGCTGTGCAGTATCCAGAGGTCAGCCAGCAGCACGCCTCAGCCCTTTCCCTGGGAATTCTAGAGGATGATCATCTTACAAAGCTCCTCTCCGTGCTGGGGAGAGGAAGGTAGGGTCTTCTGTTTTGCTTTGGGTTTAATTCCAGTTTATTTTCCCCAGAACGTAATGCTGGCACAGCCTATGCCGCATCCTGGACCTACAGCAGCAGCCAGTGGGACTCCTGAAAAGCATTTCAGCTGAAAACCTACAGCAACGCAAATGATGGGGTACAATTTGTCATATGGAAAACTGTCAGGTAAAATAACATTGGAAATTTATTTGATTGAGAAGTGTTTATTGTATTACTATCAATTCCTACAAACACTTTAAAGAAATAAGTAATTTCAGAAAAGGCTGTCTGAATACTGCTGAATGCTGCTCATGGGTGTCAGTCCTGGCTTATCACACCAGCCAAGTTCAGAGTATAAACACTATGAAATAAAGCATGCTATAGTTTCGTGAGATAATTCAGAAGTCTGAAGTTTTCTCCAAATATTTAGACATAAAATCTTAACACCCTCAGACACTGGAATTTTTAAATACGTTTAAGTAAGGCAAGTTTTAAATTAGTGTTTTAATAGGCCCAAAGAGTCTCTCCAGAGTCCTATCTCTTGACAAACAGATCACCTCAGCTCACAAGTTGCAATCTGTGAAGATAGCCAAGCACTGGTGCCCTGTGACATTAACGCTGAGTTCCCAGCAGGCTGGCATGCAGCTGCTCTTGTCCACACCACTATGTGAGACCAGCAATGGGCACTGCAGCCCTCAACCTGCAGCACGGAGTGTGCCCCGCTCCCCTTGGATAGCAGGTGGATGAAGGGAACTCCAATCCTTTTCACACTGCACTCAGCTGGGCTGTACTGTCTTCCAACCTGCAGGGCAGCAGCAAAGGCAAAGGCAGGTAGGGAGCTCAAACACAGCATGGAAACCTTGGCAATATACATACACCCACATCCTGCATTTTTTTCCCTATCAAGCTATATGCAGAAGCAACTTGATAGTTCAGCAGGAAGCACAGATGATGTGCTTGAAACATACCAAGCCAGAGGCATATTTATTTTGACATGTGCAGTACTTAGGACACTATTTTAAAGGCAGGTTTTCCAGGTTGGTTAATCTGGAATTGCCCAGGGAGAGGACATTTTCTACAGGTCAGTTCTAAAACAGCCCCACATGTAAAATGCTAGAAACATAGTTGAAACTTCTTGTTCTCCCTCATTCCCACAGATGCCCATCTGAGCCAAGACAACAATACCTCACCCAATTTCACAACAGGCTTACTTGGGAACTCTACACACAACGAATTCACCACTATCGTACTGCCTGTGCTTTACCTCATCATTTTCCTGGCAAGCATCTTGCTGAATGGCCTAGCAGTCTGGATATTTTTCCACATCAGAAATAAAACGAGTTTTATATTTTACCTCAAAAACATCGTGGTTGCAGACCTTCTCATGACATTGACGTTCCCATTCAAGATAATCCAGGATTCGCAACTGGGACCATGGCACTTCAACTCTTTCCTGTGCCGATACACCACAGTTCTGTTTTACGCAAACATGTACACCACGATTGTGTTCCTTGGACTCATCAGCATCGACCGCTACCTGAAAGTAGTGAAGCCTTTTGGAGACTCCAGGATGTACAGCATCACTTTCACCAAGATCCTATCTGCCTGCGTTTGGGTTGTCATGGCTTTCCTAGCTTTGCCAAACCTGATTCTTACCAATGGCTACCCGACAAAGAAAAACATTGACGACTGCATAAAGCTCAAGTCTCCCCTAGGAGTCAAGTGGCACACAGCTGTCATTTACATCAACACTTGCATGTTTGTAGTGGTGCTGATTGTACTGATAGGATGTTATATCGCGATATCCAGGTATATTTATAAATCAAGCAAACAATTTATTAGTTCATCAAGCAGAAAGAGGAAGCATAATCAAAGTATAAGGGTTGTTGTGGCTGTATTTTTCACTTGCTTTCTGCCGTACCATTTGTGCAGAATACCCTTCACATTTAGCCATCTAGATAAAATTTTAGATGACTCTGCACATAAAATCTTGTATTATTGTAAGGAAATGACACTGTTCCTATCTGCATGTAATGTCTGTCTGGATCCAATAATTTACTTTTTCATGTGTAGATCATTCTCAAGAAGGCTGTTTAGAAAATCAAATATGAGAACCAGGAGTGAGAGTATCAGATCACTTCAGAGTGTTAGAAGATCGGAAGTGCGCATATACCATGAATACACAGACGTCTGACATCACCCACACAGAGACTTTTGCTGGTTCATGAGACTGTATATCATGTAAATAAAACATCTTTGAATATCTGACCATGGAAGTTCATTAAGAAATTTCAGATATGAGCAGCTTTTCTGTTTCAGCTGACTAATATCCATATCAAAATCCAAATGCTTAAATCCACACAGTGATCAGGTTCACTTCAGAGGGTTTGGGGGTTGTTTCAGTTTCTTGGGATTTTTAAAGGCCAACAGATGCTAAGGATGTTGGCTCAGAAACCAACCTGGAGCTTCACGAGGCTCCAGCTGAGACAGACAAGCTCTGGCCTCAGAGAAGGATCCAGTAAAACAAGTCAACATACCTAGGTGTGGTATATGGCTGCTGAAGGGCTTGAGGCAAGCAAAAGAGAAGGGAGGAAGTGGCACTTGGTCCTGCAGAGACCCCTCGTCATGCCCATAGGCAGAGCAGCAGCAGGGCTCAGTCTGCAGAAATGGTGCTTTGCCACCAGCCACCAGCATCTCAGCTTTTCCTTTTGGGCATTTGTGGTGCTGACAGCACCATCTCGTCCACAGATCAAACCTACCGAAGTGCTTCTCACACCTTCCAAAATATCAAACAGAAAATATTCAAACATGACACTAGTTTAAGTCGCATCTCAAAACCAAAGCATACAAACAACAGACAGCACGCACACACACACAAAAAAAAAGGGGGAGGGAAAGAAAAAAAAAGAAAAAGACTGTTTAACCAAATCTTAACTCCCATTAATCTCATTCTAAATGAAGACACAACAAAAAAAGATCCCTTGACAGACTCCAAGACTTGCATGTGACAAGTCTGAGCAACCAACACCAAGCTGAAAATTCAGTTTCCCAGCACTTTCTATTCCTGCTCAATACAGCAAGAATAAGACATAAAGCACTGGAATTTTTTTGCTCAACATGATTGTAACTTTGGCTGCTCTCAGCTCTTGGAAAAATTGTGTGCAATAGGCAGGTGAAACTCATTCTTAGAGAGCAGTGCAGGCAATACATTCAGGTATTATTTTACACTGTGGTACACACCACCAGAGGAGAGTATATATTAAGGGAGAGTGTCCAAAATCAAGGCAAGAAGAAAGGAATAATGAAAGAATAACACAGCAGCTGCTGCATGAGAAAGACCTGATTTTAATAAGTACATGTAATAACTACATTATTTAAAAGAAGAAACCAAGTCCTGGAGAATACGCACCAGAGCTAACGTTGGCTGGGACATCTCAAGTCATTTCAGTGAGATTCTGGTAGGCTTCACACCACATGAGCAGTCAACAGCACTCCAGATTTGTTTACAACAGTGGCAGAAGAAAACAAAACCACTTGTCACAACCGCTTGCACAAACATTCAGCTGGCACTTGCAGAGGGAGCTAGGTGGCCAGGCTGGCTAGGGAACCCATGCCAATCAGGCAGCAAGAGCTACAACAGGGTCCAAGGCTGCTCTCCAATAGCTCCTCCACCCCAGGACGCGGTGTGGGGATCTCTCAGGGTGAGGCAGAGGCAGAAAGACAAGTTCCTCCTCCCTTGATGGCTGCACTCTACAAGGGCGGCCATCTCCCACCAAAGGACACAGGTCTCAAGTGCCTCCCGCACTCCCTGGGAATTCAGAGCAGCTCAGCCAGGGACACCAGCTGGGAAGGCAGGGACAGAGCAAGCACAGGCTCCCCAAGGGCTGGGAGAAGGATTTTCAGAGGAGGGGAACGCAGGGAGCCAGAAGCACACATTAAGTTGCCTTGAGACAGCAGAGACCACCCTGAATTCACAGCTTTTCAAGACCAGCCTGCACACACGGTTCACATACACTGAGTAGAACACAGGCAGCTCCACCACTGCACAGCCCCGACACCTCCCCTTCTGCGGCAACCTCCTCAGACACCCTCAGCAGGATAAGGCAGCAGCAGGGAGGATGGATCTGTCCACTCTAGGCTACAAGGATGTGCTTGCATATAATCCTGTAAAATGAACAATGTTTATGTGAATAATTTTGTCCTGTCCTTCACCAGGGATTAAATGAGGTTTGCCCAGAGTAAAAACTGCTCCTACAAAAAATAAACAGCCAACTTAAAAATGCAGATTGCAAGAAACTGACAGGTGTTTGGAGCAATCAATTTTTACATGCATCTTATGCAACGCAGTGCAATTGAACAAACAGAAGATGGCAACAGCCCATCATCAAGTGCCTCGTTCAAACAAGGATTTTCCATTTCATACAAACACACACAAAAAGGTTTGAAAAGAAAACCCTGGAAATGCAGCACTGAAATAACAAGATAAAATACTGCATGAGAACACCTTTGATGATGTTTTCTGCTGGAACACAGGTTTGTTTTTTTGTTTTTCTTTTTTTTTTAACAGCTTCACTTTAGATGCTGTTTTATGCATGATGAAAAGGTTGACATGTATGTATTGTAATATTTAATTAGGTATTCGGATTAATGCAAGCATTATAAAACTACTTACATTGTTCAGGGGAGATAGTTTCTGGAAAGGAAGATGGAATATTTTGGATATTTATCCTACTTTATATAAAAGTATTTTAAATGGCTAAAATACCACAGAATGAATCCTATTTTTAATCATCCCTGTGGAAAACCATGTTCACATAGTCTAGCTCTGGAATAAAATTTGCCATTTTGTACTCTTAAGGGTCTATGCACAAACCATATATATACAAAACCACACTGAGAACCATTTTTGGCACTGGGTTGCACAGCGTAAATTCTCACAAGAACCAAATTAGATGAAGTAGCATCCTGGGTTGGTTTTGTGAAATGGTAATATTTAGGACTGGAAGATCAGTTATGTACACACAGACATTAATAACCAAGGATTCTCTTCTTCAGGTCTTATATGGTTAAAGAAAACCAAGACCAAGTGCTTTTACAATGCAAGTAATGGTAAATCACCGAACAGTTTCTGGCTCGAAAACTGTGCTTGATAATTGCTGTGTTAAATTCATACTACACCACTACCCCCGGTCTCTGCTTTGCAGCTATTCCCCTTCTAACACCTTTGCAACACTCTCACAGCTACAGGAACAGGCAGGTACACACAGCCTATCTTTTCCACTAAGGGAGACTGCTACACAAAATCTTCCAATAACAAGATCCTTTATTTATAAGGCTGCAGTTTTTTGCCCTCTCACTTGTTGCCCTCCCCTCCACATGCACATTGCCTCGCCATGAGGCTAAGCTGGTGGCTCATGATGCATGTTCCACAATGTGCTTAGCACACAACATAGATGGTACCATCATATATTTACTTTCTTGTAGCCTTCTCCAGTATTAACCTTTTGAGCTGAATTTTTCTGTGCACTATAAAGCCTATCTTTATGCAACCAAAAGCATTTTCTGTCTCGCAAGAAGGCACATAGACCCATTACAACACGTTTTACATCTGCTTGGAGAGAAACTGGATTCCACAGTCAGCTGTATCCCTTATCAGATGGAAGTACAGACATGCCCATTACTAGTGGATTGGCTACTGGCAGAACAACTGTGCTACAGATGAAGATGGCTTTTTCCATCTTCATTGCCCACTACTGCTCAGAAACTGGAACCACTGGAACTAAGGCTCATGAGCCTGCTGGACGTAAGGCTACTTGACCACAGCCAGGCTATAAGTTTCCACCAGTCTCCCTCACGTCTGGTTTCATCCAGGTTTTTCTATGACCTGTTTATGCAAATTTCTATTTTCTATTTGCATTATTTTCTATTTTTCAGCTTCTTCTATTTCTTCTATTTTCTATGCTCCACCACCTCCTCACCATAAACAACAGACAACTGACTTTGTGTCCCACACACTTCACTGAGCCAAGTCCTTCCAGAAGCAGATCATAGAATAAGCACACACCTCCTAAGACTAAACAAAACTATCCTGGCTACTAGACAATATTTTAAATATATAGTATAGCAGAGTAGAATCACAGAAAGGTTTGGTTTGGAAGAGACCTGAAAGACCATCCAGTTCCAGCCCCCTGCCATGAGTAGGGCCACCTTCCACTAGAACAGTTGCTCAAAGCCCCATCCAACCTGGCCCTGAACACTGCCAGGGATGGGGCAGCCACAGCTTCTCTGGACAACCTGTGCCAGTGTCTCACCATTCTCACAGTGGAGATTTTTTTCCTAATATCTAATTTAAATCTCCCCTCTTTCAGTTTAAAGCCATTCCTCCTTGTCTTGTCACTTCATGCCTTGTAAAAAGTCTCTCATTTCTACATATGGCACATGCTATAGGATTCATTACAGATGTGCAGAACAAGAGAGCTCAAACCCCTCCCAGAATCATAACCTTCTTCCAGGTGGATCATGAGCTTCCTACTCAACTCCAGCAAAGCCCAAGGAGTTACTTCCATGGAAACCCCACTGTTTGTCCCTAAGCCGGGACACAACGGAGAGGTGCACAGGATTCGCCACCTACACGTCTTCTAGAATGTTACACACCCTCCTTACAGGATGTGGACACACACACACTATGCTTTCTCACTATCCATTTATTTTTTAACTAAAGGCTACATTTACATAAGATTTCCTACTAGGAGAAAGTACTGCTGTTTCCTATTAAGAATTTTATACAAAAAAAAAAATCTATTACTCAAAGCAAGTGCACCAGGGGTGACCGTCTTCAAAGAATGGCCTAAAGATACCCCTTTCAGGGGACCAAGGAGATAAATCAGCCAGTAGTTTCTGGAAAACACAGTCACACAAGGGAACAGCGAGGCATCCACACGAAACCCCACTCTGGGAAAGGAAGACGCAGCCGTGTGCATACAGGCCAGCCAGATGAGCCTCTGGCTCTGAAGCCTGATGACTTGGATGTACACAGCACTGTAAAATCACCCCCAAAATAAGCTTACTTTATCTTGACGGGATGTATCTGTGATAATCCTTTATCACTGGTTTATACACTCACATATACAATAGTCCTTTGAAGATGCTGTTTATGAAATATTTTCCCAGGGCTAAAAATGAATTGCAAAATAATATCCTAGTCCTCAAATACCAGTAACTATTTTTGTCTGGATTTGATACGGCATTTTGGTCCTTCTTGAAATTAAAAGATACAAGGAAGTGCATAGGAAGTCTCCAGCCCTGACCTACCACTGTCATTTCAGAAAACCACATGAGGACAGAAGTGTACATAAATTCTGGCTGTGCAGTCTGAGACTCCCATTTTTTATATGGTGCAATATGTAAAACATGGTTTTCTAGGCAGTGGCATAGCAGCCAATCAGACTCAAGCCTGCAAAGAGCACAAAACTCATGAACACTTGCAATTTTTCTTCATTTAGGAAGCCCTGCACTACTTTGTAATTAAGCAGCCCAGCCAGAACTCTCTGTGCTATCTGGTTATTGTGAAAGAAATGTTATGTGAACATGTACTTAGAGACAGCTCCAGACCGCTACCTGTGCAAGATTTTTGTCACTGTGTATATTATGCTCTTTACTTTTGAGTTCCTCTACCAATAACCTTTACTGTAGCTTTGCACCAGTGCTGCTTCCTAAGAATCTTAAAAAAGGAAATCAAAACCTCAAAAGTTCTAAAAATGTGTCTCTGCATTGATGCAGACCAGAATCTCATG